TCTTTGCTCTTCTGGCCCATAACCATTACTTTTAAAGAGCTTGAAGCAATACTGGCACCAGCAGTGTTTCAGGTGAACAAGCAAAAGGATAAAAAACAATACCATGAGTTGTTTTAACTAAATGCTACTACAAGAAAAGCCAGTGTGTATCATACTGAGAGAACTGAAAAAGGAAGAACACACAGAAGTATTTTTCAAGTTTCAGTAGTGTTTTAAATACATTAAACTTCAACATATCATAAAAATATGTAAGCTTTGTTACTACTTCTATTAATATTCATATGAGTACGTTAAGTGGAACAGTATGCATATGCTTATTCCAAGGTTATAACAACTGCATTGTTAACTCCATTCCAGTATTGACAGACATTAGAAATATTACTAGTTATTCTTTTTTAATTGTCACACTGGAATTGCTAAAAAAAAGTCACACTGTTTTATATAAAGAGCTGAGGCAGGGATTTTTAGAATTAAGAGCATAACTCTTCACAGTATTAACTGAGAAATATGATTGAATAAAGGTTTGAATTGACATTTTCATTGTCTGAACTCGAAGGTACGCAGCAGTGGGACTGTTATGATTAAATATAAATACTTATATTGGTGTCCATCACTCTATAGTCTTTTTCTAGTGGAGTAAAATAACTGGCTTTAAGATTTCTATCTCCATTTTCAAGTAGGAGTATCACTATATATAAGGAGATTATCCTGACTATTTCAGAGATGAACCCTGTGCTTTCAATCAGAACATGTTTAAAATACTTACGTTATAATATATAGGTGCAGGATCATAGCTACTGGAGGTGGTTTCACCTTGGACAGTAAGACTGATTGTTAAAAAAAAAAAATCTAACATGCTTATTCCTTCTCCTTTTTTCTTCCACTCCTGGAACAACTCAAGCTCAGTATCAGAAGTCCCCAGCAGAGGAAATTCCTTGTCCCAGATCTCACCTTACACTGATCTTCCCCCAGGCTAGCTGACATTAATTGGTCAAAGTATTGTTCTTCTCTGCTGCTACATGTTAAATGTGTAGCAGTATTTTCAAAACAAATCTATGCCTGTTATTTAACTCAAGAGATAGAGAACACATAAAGCAAAGGGTTAAATCAATAGAATCATGTGCACAGTCTTCCTCTTCCTGGTTGTTTGTTTGTTTTTTTTTTTTTTTTTTTTGGTGTGTTTTCTTTGTTTGTTTGTTTTGTTTTATTTTAACATGTGGGTTCAAAATTCTCATTGGTAACATATCTACCTGGGAACATCTACAAGACAAGTCTATCATACCTTTATTTTTTCCAATTCTGGACTATGTCCTTTAAAATTACAATATAAGGAATATAATGAATACATTCAGCTTTAGCTTGAATCCATTGTCCAATACTGTCTTTCAGGATAGAGCCTCTTAGACATATCTGTTCTGTTTAGACCAGAAGAATAAATCAAGAGTCCTGATAGAAAAAGCTATTTTGACAGGATCAGAACAAATAGGAAATAAATTTCCCACAAGGATACCTTATTCTCTCAGCAGTTTTTCCTCTGTTTTAAGGATCTAAGGAGAAAAAAACAGCACCTAAAGGAACTAGATGTGCTCCATACTTTCAGCCAAGAAACTATCATACAAATAACTTGAATGTATTTGGTATTCCAATAAAACCTAGACTGAGATTTCCTCACTTTTTCTAATGTTTAGAAGATTTTGCAAAATACTGAAATCTGGCCTTGTTCTCCTCCCATAGCTTTTTTGGGTGTCTTGATGATCCCATCAGATCAAGCCATCACAATTCAATTTATTTTTCATGCAGTAATTTTTTAGCAAACCCATAAAAAGAAAAAAATTACTCGCTCACTGCAACATGGATTCATGTTTCCCAAATCATATAAACATTCACAAAGCTGGTCGAAATTTATGGACTGGTGTGTTGTGGGTAACATTATTTCTACTAAAAGAATGTTTTTATGTAGCACCCAGCAGAATACAGTTAATAATGCATTGCTTAGCATTTTGAATAATTTTAGCAAAGGAATCATTTTAGCACTATAAACTTACTTGAGACAACAGTTTCCCCTACAGACCTTCTTTATGGCTCTGCTCATAAATGCATTACTTATCTTGTTGACATACCTCTCCACCTTTCTTTTCGTAGTAAATATAAAACAAGATTAAGTAAATGAAAAAGGTGTTTTCATCAGTGAAAAATTTTGAGGTGTTGACAGAATGCATTCTTAAAAGGCTCTTTCAATTGAAGCTTATTTAATGCACCTGATTTGATTGGAATTCATTGTAGAGAGTTGTCAAAAGCCTGTATATTTCTAGTCTTCTGCTTAAGTTCTCTAGATGGTTAAATTCTCTCTTTCTTCTGCTTGATTCTCTTTGACTTCTTTTTTCTCAAATCTAATTGACCAATACTGTACCCTGATGAATATATTCAATAGAATATTTCCTTAATTTACTTTTCCAAACCTGTGCTACACATTCTGCCAGTTTCTGTACTCCTGTATGTATCATCTTCCTCAAAGTTTTCTCTATAGTCCAGGAGCTTAAGTCTTACCGAGATCAAATTTACAGACATAGAATGGCTCAGATCATAAGTTTTTAGTTTCTCCATTCAATAATGCCTTCCTGACATCATGAAATTACAAAAATCATCTGCTATCAAGACTGAAATTCCCATTTTCTATCACCTTTATGACTTAAGTGCCTTTTCTCTGATCCTCTCAGCAAACCCTGTGTTTGCAAGTGACTTGCTCTTGCTATTGCTGTGATCCTCTCACTTGGCAAAATCTTGTTAGTTCCGGTACTTTTTCCCCCAGGACATTTTTTTTTTCCAGCACAATCAATCTCCCCTTGCCTCTGAAGAATTTTAGTCTAGTACCTTCCACTTTTAAAAACATAGAACATAGAAACTGATAAAAAAGGAAAAGAAAAATCCAGTTCTCTGCAATACAGATCCTTGATAATATTATTACATTTATCTTTAAGAAACTCCAAACATCCTTGCAAAATCAAGAGCTGTTACTCCACACTCTCAAAGATTTTAATTATCTCTTTCTCTTTTAAAGTTAAAAACTTCAGGTTTGGCTTTATTTTAATTTGTTCCAGTGTTCTTAATGTTTGTTTTCACTTATTAGCCTTTCAACTCTGTACTGTCCCTAAAATAAAGAGTTGGGTTTGATTCCTTTGGTTTGCTGAAGAAACGTGTAGACTCTTTTCTCTTTGAATATATGGGCAATTATTGAAAATATTTCTCAATTTGAAGCTTAATTAAAATTATGATTAAATTTAAAAGCAACTTATTAGGCTTAATGGGGAAACCTCTCAGCTCTCCAGATGGATTTCTCTCTCTTCTGTACTATTATGTACTTTGTTTCTGCACGTTTCTCCTCTTCGGAGCAACCACATTATTGTGAAATTTCTTTTTTTTTTTTTTCTTTTTTACTAGTCAGATCAATCTTATCTGTAGGACAATCTGTAGAAAATACTGGCACAGCCACTTACAACGAACTATAAATGACTCACTTTTTACAAAAATGTTATGGTAAGCACAGACAAATATGAAAGCGATAAAAGCAATAAGTTGAAAATCAAATACATTTTGGAAAAAAATCTTACCTTAGTGAAATGACTGCATGAACATTTTTAATTGTCTGAAACTCAGCTATTAGAGACTAAGCAAGCTCAGGAACAAAATTAAGTCTTATAGAAATACTTATGCCTGTTTGGGGTTTAAGGGGGTTGGTTAGGTTTTTTGTTGGTTGCTTGTTTGGGTTTTGTACTTTACAGCTATGAAAGAAGTACTTATTTGGTATGAATATTAGGAATAAAAGCATACTTTTAATGTTGGTCATTACTAGTCTTATTAAACGTTTTAGACAAATGAAATAATGGGTCTATACAGAAATTGATTTCTATGTGTTTTTTCACCTAAAGTATAGTCTTTCTTTAATGCAGGCTTCTGTAGTGAGCTTTTTGAGCTTTCAAAGGAAATTTTTAAAGTCTAAATATTCAGTGTATAAATAAGGGAAGAATTGGTTCACTTCTTTACAAGAATTGGTTCACGTCTTTAGAGGCAAGATTAGTAAAAATATTTAGTGGCTCACAAAACAGCTTACAGGCTTTCTCAAGTTCTGTTTTCAATGTGACTGCCATAGAGCTTTATTTGCTTCCTGAAACAAGGATTAGATCAATTCAATCAATTTATTTTACTATAATTGGTGGGGGAAAAAAACCAAACCCAAACTCATAATGCTCAGCTGGCTACTTACTTACCTTGATCCCCTAATTGCCTTATGGGGTCTTGTATGTTGTCTTCTAATACTTCATGGATTATTAGGATACAGAATTACTTTATGGCACACATGGACCTTTTACTTTGTTGCAGAATAACACTTATACCTGCCATTCAAAAAGCAAAGAAGTTAAAACTCCAACTGAAAACATTCAGGGACACAGTCACACCATACGAAGTCTGTACTTTAGGACTGAGAAGGGGGTGGATGACAGACACTGTTAATAGATTATCATTATTCAGGATCCTTTCTAATCATTCTGTCTGGAGAATTTTTGGCAATTCTGTGCCAGAATTCATACGTATTCTTCAAAGAAAATAAATGGGAACACTAAAATTCTTCCAATTTTCATATCAGGAATATGAAAAAGCTAAGTTAGTAATAACTTGGAAGGGTAGATTTCAAATTCTACTTGAACAAGGTGATGGGAAAATATACAAATAAGAAACAACCCTGAATCTAGGCATCTACTTCTTCCTTTAAATTCTAAGATTACTACGTATTAAGAATTACTACAGTTCAAAACAAAAGAATCTCAACATGTTGAATTGATGAAAGCAACACTTTAAAGTGCTTTTATTTAGCATATATCTCATTGTAATTTATAAGCTATTAAATATTTGCAGAGCTTCTTTTATGTTATATCCTGTCCTGTTACTGGTTCTTCTTAAGCATTTCAACAACAAAAGTATTTATATATTTTTTTCTTTCACAGTTGAAAGCAAAACAAAAGGAACACCTGACACAAATCTCTGTGGTAATTACTGACTTCTAATTTCTTTTTTTTTCAGTCCAGTCTGTCCATTTCACTAAAGATGATATGGTTATGCCATTACTTTAATTATAATATTCAATATCTTATCAAAATGAAAAGTCAGTATATTTTCCTAAGGGCTATAATTCTATAGACTGCATGTCTGAAGTTCAGACACATTTTTAAGCATGCAACAGTGAAAGATTACCATTTGGGAATTAATGATTTGCAATATATATATTTATGGCTCAAGAGAAGATTTTCTTTGCTTTTTTTTTCTGTATTGTGTATACACAGTTTCTGTTTAGGAATAAGTTTTAAACAGATATCATTAATACACTGAAGAAAAGCTGAAAAAAGGTAAATTGCTCTTATTTTAGCTCTTTGTGGCTAAATACCCAAAATACAACCTTTTAAGAGACCAGGTTTTTTTTTTTTTTTTTTTTAATAGTCAGACCTTCATTGAAAATAGTATGAATTACACTATGGAAACATAGGCTTCTTTACCAAGTCATTTTTACTTGTTCTACTGTATTCATTTTTGTATTGTAACATTATTGTGTTAAGATTTCCTATTAGTAAAGTTCATGGCTGGGGAATTGATGTTTAGGGCAAAACTGGGTACAAAACCACAGGGCTACCTCTGTTCATTAGAAGGAAACAGGCAAACATAACTATAGGTCTGGAAGTATTAAAAACTATCCCTTGAGAAAACCTTTTAAGTGGATGAAGGGGAAAAAATAAAACCACATAACTTTTCTTATGGCCTTTCTTATTTAGATTTGGCTATTGGAACACTGACGGACAATACATAAATAACTACATGAGTGGTACTATGAGACTCCTAAAATACCTGTGTTTAGTGAGAGAAATTAATCACAAAGAGAGACTGAAATAGAAGTGTAGTTGCATTTTTTTATTTTTAACTGAATCTTCTGTTTTACTGGCACATGAACTCCAGTATTTGACTCCATTGGAAACAGTACAAGCTGCTCTTATTTCAACACAGTTGCTTGGGGCTGAGGCCTCTTACCTCTGAAAGTACTGAAAGTCTTTCTATAACATATGTTCTCTGACTGAGGATGTCTTATCTGATGATTTATTACTTCTTTTAACACTTCTCAGTGCAATACCTGTCACACTTTTCATAATTAATTTAATCTGATTACATTTGTCAGATATAGGAAAAACACACCATATCTAACCATGTAAATCTTAAACACTTTTTGTTTTTACTAATTTCTTTTTCTTTCTGACTCTCATTGGGCCAACCACAGCAGAATTCATCTCACCTAACCTTAGACTTTTTAAATTGATTCTTTAATCTTAGCTCCATCTAGAGACAATGAAAAGAGATAGAAATGCTTTAGAGAGTAATTTCTTCTACCTATTCTTGTAGTTAGAGTTGCTTCTCTCTCATCAGTAGAGGAAGATCCCTTTAATCTACATAAGTATGTGGTTTGTCAACCTTGACTGGCTACCAGCTACACCCAACTACTGTCTTAAAGAGGAATGGAAGAAAACAAGATGCAAAAAGTTGGGATAAGGATGGAGAGATCACTTATCAGTTAATGTCAAGCGCAAAGTAGACTCAAATTTAAGAAATTTAATTTAATTTGTTGTCAGTAAAAATAGATTTGGATAACGAGAAGTAAAGAACAGCATTATCCCCCACACTTTATTTTTCTCATGATCAACTTCACTCCTTCATTCCTAACTCCTTTATTTCCTTTCCCACACTGACACACAGCAAGCCACCCATAACATCTCCTCTCTACCACTTCTTCATCGTCAGGCTTTTCCCCCACTGTAGCCTGAGCTCTCCATTGTCTGCAGTCCTTCAGGAATATCTAACTTCTCTGGGGTGGGGTACTCCATGTGTATGCATATCTGCTCCACCATGGTCTTCCCTACAGGCTGCAGATACCTCCTTCTGCTCTTTCTTTGCTGTCCTTGGTGTCTACAGGGTTGCTTCTCACACTTCTTGTTCTGTCCTCCCTCTGTCAGATGTTTTATACCCTTAATTATATACCCTTTTCTCCCAAGGTGCCCCCACCTGAGCCATGTCCTGCTGTGGGTGGGTTGGAGCTGGCTGGAACCAGCTGTGTCTGGCACAGGGCAGCCCCAGCCTGTCCTCACAGAGTCCCCCTGCAGCCCCTGCTGTCTGCATCTTGCCAACTATGCCCAGAACAACACAATATCTTGTTGGTTTAAGATAGGTAACAGGAAAAAATTTCTGAGAGATGCAATCCTTAAAAAAGTAGGAGATGGGCTGATTTTGTGGAGGGGACTTTCAAGTGTACTTACACGTGTATAGCACATACATAGCCCCACAAGACACTTATCCAACCCAGTTTAAAAGTTTTGGCCAATACATTTATTTTGCATGCAGCTGATTGTTCATATTCAGTTTAGATGTGTATTTTCTTTTTTAAAAAAATATTATTTATTAATTTATTTTTTTTTCTTAAATTAATTGTCCTTGGATTGTTTTAACAGTCTATTTCAGGAGTTCAGAAGTCAGTTTTTAACGTTCAGAATACAGACCTTAAAAAAATTTTAGTGCAGAGACTTGATTTATTTGGATGTCAAATGAATAACTGAAATGTTAAAGATATTAGGAAGAAATTCTTTACTTTGAGGGTGACGTGACACTGGAACAGGTTACCCAGAGAAGTTGTAGAAGTGATCAAGGCCAGGTTGGATGAAGCTCTGAGCAACTGGGTCTAATGAAAGGTGTACCTGCTGATGGCAGGGAGGTTGGAAGTAGGTCATAATATCGTACAATCATTAAGGCTAGAAAAGACCTTTAAGATCATCAAGTCTAACCGTTAACCTAACACCGCTGTGTTCACTGCTAAACCATATCCCCACCTGCCCCAGCCACACATCTTTTGAACATTTTTTTTCATAATAGCTAACCTGAACCTCCCCTATAGCAAGTTGAGAACATTTCCTCTGATCTTAAAGTCCCTTTCAACTCAAACCATCTTATGATTCCATGATTCTATGATCTCTACAGATTAGCAAAGCTGGTGCCACTAATACAGTTTCTTCAAATGGAATGGAAAAACACACAAGTTATTGTCAGAAATATAATTAATATATGTTATATAGTAGTTTGACCTCTTTAGAGTTTCTGATATAAATAAAATATTAAAATTCACAGTTGTTGACTAGTACATGCAAATTATGGTATAACCTGTTGCCTGTTAAAGACCTGCATAAAAACATGTTTATCTAACTAGTTTCTGCACATCCTCAAGAAGGATGTTTCCAGTATAAAACCTTCTCAGAACTCAGTCAGATAAAATATTTGAAATAACTTAAAAAATATAAAGTATCTGTGGGAAAGAAGACATTGCTTAAGATGTCCTCCACTTACTGAATAAAAAAAAATTTACTTATTCTTAATTATTTAAGAATATTTCTTATCATTTTTCTACTGTAGTAACCTCAGAAAATATCCCAAACTAATTCACATGTTAATTTCAAATCTGATTAAGAATATTTAATACAATCCTTCATTATTGTTATGGAAGATGTTGAATAAATAACATTCCTTGCTTTGTTGCTAGTATATTTGCTACGGAAGGCTGATGATACCAACTCAAGGTACAAAAGCATTTGATATATCCCTCTGGAGTTTTTTACTCATCTATCTTTAAAATAATCATAGGATTGGATGGCTCAGGGAATGAGTAATCAGCGTCAGAGACCTTTCTTGCTTTCCTACTAAGACAAATCTTTCTTGACTTACTAGAAAAGGTTGTTACTAGATAACCATTTAATTAAATATGCTTATTTGTTAAACTTATTTGTGATCTCAGCCTATGGCACAGCCCTCACCTATAAAATTGTTCCATAGTACTATCAATAAAGTTGTCATGGACTGAAAGGGTATAGATACAGAACTGATTTTTTTTCCTCTCAGTCTCACAGGACAGTGTGGGAACCTTATGCTGCAGCTCCCCATGGTGCAAATAGAGTGTAATTATTTTCTGTGAATGACAGGAAAATGTTTCCATGGACATGAAAATTCACCTGTTTTAAAGTGAAGAAGGGCAGTATGTTGGAGGGAGCTCTGGCAGCAGAGGGTAGAACAACAGCATTACAAACATGTCAGACTTGAAAGAAGCTACATTAACAAGTCAATCTCAAGCAAGTAACCTCCTTTGGGAAGACTTTCTGAAAGGAGGAGTGCAGTTAGCAGTCTAGCTGTGTCACTTCTCGTTATACATTTTTTTGAAGCAGCCAACTTGGTCAAAAACATCCTCATTAAGTTTATTTTCTATTTTCAGCATGCATTTATTATACCTGATTTACTCCATTCTGCTTAATATGCCTGCTTTTAATTCATTTCTTGACTTTGCAAGCAAGACAGTAGCTGAACGTTTTCTGAATGTTTGTATGATGTGCATATCTCCTTTGTCTAGGTTGACAGCCATATCCTCTGAGAATTCCAATGAGTTAGGTAAGTCTTTACCTTCCTTGTCTCTCCTTAGACCATTTTAAAATAATGGCATTATGTTGGCTACTCTCCAGTCATCTAAGATTTCACTTGATCTATTTTGAAGAGCAGAAGTACATAAAAACATCTGCCAAAGCATCTTCAATTTCTGTCCTTATTTCCTTAACCCTTTTAGGCATATGCTGTTTGGTCATGGCCCAATCATTTTTAGAAACCATTTCACCATATAATAACCATACTGACACATTCTGTCCATATCCTAATTCCTAATCATCCATCTCCATAAATATGATTTCAGATGTAGTCAAATACCTACTCTAATCCTTTATAAGGCCATATATAACCATTATATAGTGTATCCCCAATCCCCTTAACACCCCTTCTAGGGGATAGGTTGCAACACGAAAGTTTCTTTTAACAGTGAGTATGTGTCCAGAGCTCAGGACTGGGCTAGAGAATTAGTTTTAATTCAGATTTTCAATTAATTTTCTGTTTATTTCCTGCTCTAAGGAGGAAGCAGCCCGCAAATGAATTACAGCTGATAGTTATTTGCTTCTTCATGACAACTTGCTGACCCAGGGCATTGTTCTCCTCAAAGACCTGCAGTCTGCAGGTTTGCAGCCTTGTCAAGGAAGCAAGAAGTACTTTCATATTTTTTTGTTTCTCTGCATAGGCATGTCAGAATCATCACAATTAGCTCCTGGAAGGACCTCAAGAAGTTATGTAGCCTGTCCTCTGGTGCCAGAGTAAAATTGTGTTTTCTACTCTTAATAACCTTCAGTTATGGAGATCCCATAACAACCTTGAGCAGTCTGTTCAATGTTTATTTAAACTTTAGGTTTTCAACCTCACCGTAATGTTTTATATAATTTTTAGAAAAAAATATTAAAAAATAATGTATGCTACTGCACACATTACAGCAGTTGAAAAACCTCTTAATGTTTCTGTGTGTGAGACACTGATTATGCCTAACAAAAGTTTAGAGACAGAGCCTGGGGCTGATCCTAAACACTTACAAGATCTATTTGATGTGAGTTGTCCCACAGAAATCAAGATGACAGCTGATTATAAATATTTTATATTGTCATCTACCAACGTTTTTTAGCTGTAAAAGCTTTCAATATTGAACAGTATGCTAATTCTGAGGTACTTTTATGAATGCAACACTGATCCTAGCTGGATCACATGCAGGAAGTGAAGCTAGAGCCTTTGAATTTAACAGAAAAGGCTGTTACTATCTGAGTCACATTCTTAGCTTTATCCACTTGAAAGAATTATTATATTAGGAAATCTCTCTATGCATCTTCTCTTCCTTATCACTGGACAAAGCCCAAAATGATGTTGACATGACTGCTTCAACCTAATGGTAGATATTTTAAAAAAACACAAAGCAATGCAACTCTATGATCCAGAAAAAGTTAGTATCATATAGTATTCTATACCAAATAATGATCCTCTGTGGAGTGTCAGTCATGGACTCTCACACTGAGAAAAAGGTTCACTTCAGTTACTTCCCTGAACTACAGGCTGAGACTGAACACCTTTGCAGGTACAACAGGTCATCTGGAGAATGCTGACTCATTATTCTGTTCTAATCTTTGTGTTTATTTTTTAAGAACTGATGCTTGAGTTTCATTAGGCTCAATGAAGATTTTGGCATTTAAAATTTAAAGAGTGGGATCTGAGTACTGACTGTGGTGACCCACTTCTTTTGAGTGTGTTAGTCATTCTGTGACCATTTAAAGACAATTTTTAATATCAGAATAGGTACCCTGGAATTCCACACTTTCTAAAGACACCTTTATAAAATCTGCCTCTGTCTCTAACACTAAAGATACTAATGGTTACTGAGCAGGCAAAGCATAATGACCCTGTGTTAAGGTAGGGAGAGGAAGTTATATTGAATTATATATACTAAAAACATGACCCAAATTCTTCTCTTTCCTTTTTTGTTGATGACAGCTGATAAAAGTATTTCTTAAAAAGTTTTTACCTTACTTTTTTTTAACTTTTTCATGTCTTTTGCTATGTTGAATCCTGGAGGAGAAGACCACAGCAGCATGCTCTTTTGTCTTACCTTGTTCCAATTGCAACTTGAGTCATGTAAGTCTGTATAACTCACGTTTGTATTACACTGCATTGCAAATTGAGGCCTAAGTCATTGTTATGCTTCCCAATTATATGCTGGAAATGAGTTGTGTACTTGAAGAAAAATAATTTCAGGAAAAAGCCCTATTAGAGTTCACAGAGTACTAACCATATTGTCATTTGTTACATTAAAATTTTAACAGGTGGGTCTCAAAGGCAAGTGTATCAACCCGAACATACCAAGAAATTTATATGGTCACACACACCATGTGATTGCACTCAAGATAATCTGTTCCATAAGTGTCCCTGGCACTGAGGTCAGGCTGACAGGTCTGTAGTTCCCCAGATCCTCCTTCTGACCCTTCTTGTAGATGGACATCGTATTTGCTAACATCCAGTCCAAGACTGCTGGTAAATATCTGGAAGTGGCTTGGTGAGCACTTCCACCAGCTCCTTCAATACCCTTGGGTGGATCCCAGCTGACCCCATAAACTTATGTGTGTCTAAGTGGTGTATCAAGTCACTGACCATTTGTCCTTGGATGATGGGGGATTCCTTCTGTTCCCCATCCCTGTTTTCCAGCTCAGGGGGCTGCATACCTGGAGAACAACTGGTCTCACAGACTGAGGCAAAGAAGGCGTTAAATACCTCTGCCTTTTCCTCACCCTTTGTCACTATGTTACCCCCTCCGCAACCAAAAAAGGATGGAGATTCATTACCCTTCTTTTGTTGCTGATGTGGCTAATAGAAACATTTTCATTGTCTTTCACAGCAGAGCCAGATTAAATTCTAGTTGGGCTATGTTCCCTCTAATTTTCTCCCTGGATAATGACACAGCATCCTTGTAGTCCTCCTGAGCTGCCTGTCTCTTCTTCCAAGTGTCATAAACACTCCTTTTTTCCCCGAGTTCCAGACAAAGCTCTCTGATCCGGCAGGTCAGTCTATCCCACCAGCTCATCTTTTGGAATATAGAGATGACCTGTTCCTGCACCTTTAAGATTTTCTTCTTGAAGAATTTCCAGCTTTCCTGGACCTTCCAGACTGCCTCCCAGGTACTCTGTTGACCAGGCTCTTAAACAAGGAGTCTACCCTTCAGAAAACCAAGGTGGTAGTTCTGTTCACTCCTGGCCTCACTTCTCCGACAGCTGAAAATTCTATCATTTTATTAATGGTATGCCCAAGACATCCTCTAACTAACCAAGATCACCACTTAGGAGTAACTAACAAGTGCTTGATTTCATAGATGGCATTCTGTGTGGTGTTAAGCTTCTTTGTTCTTTGCTGTGGTCATCAACAACACCTGCTTGGCAAAGTGCCTAGGACCTTCAAGGCTGGTAAGGAAGGGTTTAATTGGACTGGCACTCAGGAATCTTGAGACCAGTACAGAGTAGAAGAAGAAATACTTTTTATTTTTCTAGTTGGCTCACACGAAAGAAATGCATCACCCACTCAGCCACAGAGAATGGCTGTTTGCTTTATATAATAATATAAGTTATGCTAACCACATTACCAGGGGTGGGAAGCAGGGGAATACTGGTGACATATGGTATCTCCTTGGGCTCTAGGATTGATGAAATCTATTTTCTGCAGTAAGAAAGCACACTTTATATCAAATTAGCATCCCAAACTCTTTGCCAGGAGGAATCTTACGTTTAAGGTAAAGACTTCTACTTCTTCATTTGGATCATGTTAAGATCACTTTTATACTTTTTTTTGATAGTAGAATCTGCTTATCTTTTATTTTCTTTATTGTCTTGCAATTTGTTATCATATCTGAATTTACTACATATGTTCTGTTTTAAATACATAATATTTGTTCTTTGTTTTCTTTCTTATTTCTGTAACAGGCTTTATTTGATTGCTAAAAATCAGATTATCAAAAGAGAACACTATCTTGTCTTGGACCATTACATGTTGTGGACTGATAGTTGCTGCTCATTTCTTAATATGAAATGACTTGTCATAGCCATACATAATATAAATAAAGATTTTACCAGTAAATTTGGCAGTGGTTTATAATAGATGGATGACTTCCCTCTTTACGATACACTGAGACACATAGATTATTATTACTGCTTATAAATAATTGATTGTAAGCTAATTGATGTCATATGGTAAAGTGATTTTTTTTCCCTGAAAGAATAAGTATGTGATCATCTTCATTTGAATCTGAAATTCATTTGGAAACTTGCTTACTGAGAAAGTTGTTGTAATTGGCTGAATTAACTGCTAATTCTTAACCAAAAAAAAAAAAAAATCACTATGAAAAGACTTTAAAGGTTACTGGGATGAGGTGGTAGAAAGATTAAATAAAGAATAGTAGTGGGCATTATTTCTGTCTTATTCACTTATCTTGAAAATGAACCAAATATGAGATTATGCTTTTTTGACTTTTTAATGAGTTACTAGCATGATTGAGAGTCTATGTACCTTTTTTCCATCTTTACTGAATGAGGAAATCTGCCAAAATTTGTCATATGAATCACATTTAAGTCATCAAACATAATATTTACTCCTTCGAGAATTTTGTTGAAAAGACCGAAAGGATTATGTCTGAAGGAGGTCTTCAGACTTCTTCCATTTCAGCAGTTATTTAACAGTGTTGTGTACTTTATCCTGCTTCTGACTCCTGCTAAGAAGATGTGCATTTGATTTCTTCCTATTAGACTCATGAACAGTATAGGAAAAATGTCAAATTTACAACGGTAAGATTCATTTAGTTGGGTACACAATCATTCATCTTAATTATGTCTGACACCTTCACCATTATAAAATCAGTTTCCCAGAAGAAGAGAAACTCACACTCTGTCTCCTTTAGGAATCCTTCATTGAAGGAGACTAGTTATTTCAGTTCTCTGAGGAAGCTAATAGTGTAGTCGAAGGATCATGAAAAAAAAGAATAATGGCTCGTATTCATCAAGAACAGGGAAATACCACACTGCCATGCCTGGTAACCAGAACTCCTAATGCTGCTTTTTGGAGGGTAGTGGATTATAGTACGTAAGATTTTGAAGCAGGACATGTATAAACTTCTAATAAAAGACAATTCTTTTATATCTTTTTTGCCTTCATTGAAATAAATGATAGCTCATCACTGAACTCAGTGAGAAACTAAATTAGGTAATTTTTTTTTTTATTTTCCATGATGCATATTTTATTTATATTATGCAAAGGTAAAGAGATACTGAAACCACAAAAAAAGCCACTCTGAGCCTCTTGGTCATCTGTATATACTAGTTGTAAACAAATTAGGATGCCTTAACATATATATATGTAATAAAATACACTTTTTCTCTGATAAACAAATAATTATATAAAATAAAATAATTATTATTTGAAGCATCAGTAATGTAGAATTTTCACATTATATTAGAGAATGAATATTTCACTATTCACAAAAGGATAAGTAAAACTGTTGAGTTGGATGCCATATCAGATGAGGCACTAAACATGGTCTCTGTTTTTCAAATGGTCTTTTCCCCTCAAAGATAATAATACAGGAAGGTGTAAGAATTTAATTTTAAAATTTCACAATTTGTGGAGGGTAGAAGTTTAAATTTAAAAATGAATCTTAATAAATCCTCTTATATAAGTACATACATAAGATTTATAACCATTAGGTTACAAAGTCTCTGTAAATGTAGCACATCCCTCAAAACTGCTTCAACAAAAAACAGCGTTCAGAAGAGTATTAGGGTTAGGGTATAAAAAGGTTACCTTTATGCACTGCTCTCAGCTAAGAGGAAACCATTGCTGAATCTATATCTTATGAGACCATCTCATACTAAAAGAAAAATATCTCCTGCTTTTATCTTTCTCTGTTTAATATTTCTGCAGAATGAAACGCTGACTGATTTATTCAGGAAGTGTAAATGAGAAGCAAATACTTTTGATTTTTAAGAGATGGAGTGGTTCCGAAATGACAGAAAGTTGAAGCTGAATATGCGTCAGTATCCTCTGAGTAGATTAAGCATTTTTCATTCTATCCATTGTCTCTATGCTTTTTGAGGCAAGGACCTTCTATCAACATGTAAACAAAGTAAAGTTTCATAGCTCGATTTGAGGAAAAATCTTTGTAGTAGGATTGAGAATGATGATGATGATGCAGCTAAGACAGAGGCTGTGAACAAATTTAGTGCCCTAATATAGACAACTGTAATCAGAGGATTGGATTACATTTCAGTAACAATGCTGGCATAGTAGTTGCCAGTGAGATTGTAACTGCTTCATTACCCATGCTTGACCCCTTGTGATGAATATGCTGAGCCATTGTCAGATGACAGATTCAGATGGCAAGGGAACAAGCAAATTAATTACTTTCCTAAATTATATTTATCATCAGAATTGTAATGAAAAATAAAAAGTGCCACTGGGGTTGAAAAAGCCCAAACTAAGTGCCAAATTCTGATATACAGTCAATTGAATTGCTCTGGCTTCATAGTGAACTAAAATGTGCATTTTTCCTCAGACATTTAGAAATTTAAATGTTTGACTTTCTTCACACATGACAATTCTAGTCAATAGCTCTGTTGTGATGTGCAAAACATTATTTCTAAAGATAGGCTTATTTAATGAGCACTTACCTGGTTGTTTTTTCTTGAAGTCAAAACAGGGCCTCATTCAAGCAGTGCCAAAACATTTAGATAGCTTTGAATTAATTTTACATTTTCTTTTTTAAATGGTCTAACTTAGAAAAAAGATATATTTTAAATACTTTCCAAATTAAATGAGGTTTTTCCTGATTATTAAAAAGTTTACATTTAACTGTAATACTCTTTTACTATTTTTCTTTCCATAAGTGAGTAACTTGGTGTAATTAAGTTACTCACTTGCCATAAGTGAGTAACTTCCCATTAGTGCGTAACTTCCCATTAGTGCGTTTTAGTATTAAACTTAAAATGTCTACTATGGTAGCTGTTTCCAGTGCTCAATTGGTACTTTGAATGGCTAATATGCAAACTAACAGGAAGTAAATCTTATCCTTAAGCTCTTCAGGAAGATTTAAAATCCCTCACACCCCCCCACAACAAACAAGAAAAAGAACTAAAACCCAAAACCCAAATGAGCATATAATAATCAGAAAATTTGTGTTAAGAATTAGTCTGGTTGGAAATAATAACTTTAGGAAGCTATGGACAGGCAAGTGATTGTATATAAACTGTTGAAATCTAGATTATTATCAAGCTAAATCTAAAAGTGTTCCTTAACTGTGTCCCGATCCTCTGTCTAAAATGCAAAGACTCCATTTCATCTTCTTTCTGCATGGGCAAACCTAGGTTCCTGTGAAAGGAAAAGTCTGACAGAAAGTCAGTTCTATTACATCCAGCTTATCCCCCAAAATAAATGACCACAAGTACTATTCAGAGAAAACCAGTAGTGTAGATAGTAAGTTTACCTTTCTTCACTGGCACTACATGGATTCTGGACAATTGCTTTAGATGACTTCAGTGGGACTAAAGCTAAGTGGGATGTGTTACATGTAGATGCTTGGTTTGTAGCTAGCTCAAGACACAAGAAGTTTATTCTCCTCTTCACTTATTTAAGCTCCAGTTTTCCATCTCTATACTGTCTTTTGTCTTCATATTACCATCTATTCAAGACAAAGTTCATTTTATTGCATATTAACACGGTACATGAAAGAATCAGAACTCAGTCTTGATAAAGACCTTGGTGCACAACAGTTCAAAGATTGATTAACCAAAAGTAAATGAATGTTAACAAAGCTTAGGTTTGATTACCAAATAGCCCACCATAAAATGAATGTTCAAAATGCAAGTTTTTATTAATAAGAAATTCAACAATGTACCAGACAGCTTAATTCTTGTTTTCTCATTTTGTAAGAAATTGAACCTGCCAAGATTTAATTACATGTATAGCTTAACACCTTTCTAATGAGTCAGAGGACACTTAGCATATGCTACCCTGTGTGTCAAAGCTGGTGTCTCTTTTGTCCTTCTTCTGCCTTGTAGAGTATAGATTAACTTGGCTTTTCTCTTTAAAAGACTGGAGCAAAATTGATCCAGAGAGATGGTCTGTGATTAACATCAGAGAGGAAAATGTTCGTTTGCAAATATACTGGTGATGATTCATGTACCTTTAGATTAATAATACCTTGCATATTGCAAGCTATTAGAAATCTGAAACCCAATAAGATATTTGTGAAACAACTCTCCACCAGAATGTGTAATAAAATCTTAATTTGAATCTCTGACTAGACAGAATCAAAGTTACATTTATGTCTCTGCATTGAGGCTCCTGAAGGTTCCATTAAGGTTTCACTTCACCTAATAATGTCATGTTATGTATTAAACTTTAATTGTCGTTCTTTTACAGCTTGCTTGCTCCACTTATGGAGTTAAGAATAATTTTTTTGTTATAGGCAGGAAATGTACTACACAAATACAAATGCAGCTCCTCTGAGAACAGGTTTGATGAGACATGCAATGATGTACAGGTGAAATGCAAAACTAATGCATACTAGGCAATTTTGTAGATGAAGAAGAGAAGCAGTTGCTATGTGCATGAATATAGAATAGGGGAAGAAATCAGCATGGCTTTTGGAAAATTAATTCTTGCCTTACATACCTTGCAAAGAAGTCCACAAGTTTGTTAATAGGGTCAATCCCATTTAAATGTATTGTTAGATTGCCAAAAGAC